GCAGCTGAGTGTCGCCCTTATATAGCAGTCGGCTGCTCGCAGACGAAAGCGTAGAAGCATCGAGTTGTTCGCTATCGAAGGTTCTCGTTTAGACAGGACATTCGCCTCGCATTTTCGCAACAATACTTACTTTTATACTATGTAGATAATTAATTATCCTCCTCATTGTAGGAAACGGTGAAGCTAATAGCAGATAAAAGTGTGTACGTACCTTACGATTTTAGCCTTAAGTCATAGTCTAAGCATTCCATCATTCATAAGAATAGTAATAAGATGGCAACCCCAGTTTTAAGATGTAAGAGTGAGTAGAATATGGTTCTCTGTATTCGCCCAATTTTAAAATAAAAGAACGGTTGGTTCGCTCATTATATTTTTGATCGCCGAATAAGTTCGATTCATTTAATACACTCGCATCATGCATAAAAGAAAAGAAAATAAGTGTTGTATTTAATATACAGTCATAAATTAAAATTAAAATGAGTTGTACCACAGTAGACGCTGAAAAGTATTCACTGCTTCAGCTAAAGAAGTGGTGCGCTGCTGTAGGCGTCAACGAAAGCGTCGCAAAGGCTTCGTTGCAGCCAGCCTCAACAAATTGTCGGCTAAAGCGCGTGGACTGTGCCCAGAAAAAGATTTAGGCTGCAACTACCCAACGCGCGTACCAGCCGTCCATAGTAACCTATCTTATGAGAGCGCCATGTAAATACAAAGTTATCACCGCTTTCCCATAGCGTTGCNCAAAGGGAAATATACCATTTGTAATGGTACATTTTGATCATTACGAACCGATTAACAGCAAGTCTTTAAAGTACAAACATGCCTTGGTGGTTATAGATTCATTCAAAAAGTTTGTCCGATTATACCCAGCCAAAATAACAGCGTTAAAAGAAGCAATTTTAGCTTTAAAAAAATATTTAAGGGTCTATAGCAGACCAAAGTTAATTGTATCAGACCGAGGGACATGCTATATGGCAAACGAGTTTGAAGAACTTTTAGGAAATAAAAACGTTGAGCACATAAAAGTAGCGACAAACTCCCCTCAGGCAAACGGACAGGCCGAATTCGTTAACAAAAGCCTAGGTCCTACGATTGCAAAAATGGCTGATTCCGAAAAAGATATAAGGTGGGAAAAAACATTTGAGTCTGTAGAACATGATATAAACAATACCGTTCAAAAAGCTACAAAAGAGTGACCTAGTGTACTATTTTTCGAAGTTGGACAGAGAGGAAAAGTTATAGACAGCCTTAGGGAAAATATATTTGAGTCAGCTCAAGTGTCAAGAAAACTTTCCCGGATAATACAAAACAAAGCGCAAGCTTACAATAAGGAATATTCAGATGCTAAACGACAAGAACCACGGAAATTCAAAGTAGGTAACTATGTAGTGATACTCAACGTCAGCTCTCAAACAGGGGTGTCCAGTAAGCTAATACCTAAATTTAAAGGACCGTAAAAAGTAGCGGAAGTTCTAAAAATTACCGGTATAAAGTAGAAAATGTCGAGGGATTCCAACAGACACAAATACCTTATAGAGACATCTAGATAGTTACAAATTTAAAATCTTGGTACGAGTACAGAAAGGATAAGAAGAACTAAGTCAGTTGTATGTTATTAGGAGCTTTAATTTAAGCACCACATGTATTTTCATCAGCAGATTCCTTATTGTCAGGATGGCCGAGTTGTAGGACATAAGTGTGCACGTACCTTACGAGTTTAGCTTTAAGGCTGCAACTACCCATTTCATTTACCANTGATGAAATCATTTTACTAAACCTGAAACAGATGTTATAGCACCAATTGCTCCTGTTAAAGGTCATAGGCTATAATCTACTAAATGAAAAGGGTGATTTGAATGTGTTGACATTAATTAACCGCTCTAGAGTATAAAGTTCTTAAAACGGCAAATACGTAAGATTGAATAATAGCTACAGCTGATTCAAGAACCTCTAAAGCAAGTTGACCAGAAGTGAAACAATAATTATTGAAAGTGACAGCCTGTATTACCTAATAATGTAAGAAGTAAGTGCCCTGCAAATATGTTTGCGGCTAATCCAACCGCTAATGTTCCAGGTCGAATAATATTTTTAATAGTTTCAATACATACTATAAAAGGTATTAAAATTGCTGTTGTTCCTTGTTCCTTGTGAGAAACTAAGTGGCCAAAAATATATATTGCGTATAATTAATTCATTGCAAAAATAGCGGCGTTGGAATAAAAACTAATGCAGAAGGAAGTGGAACTACTGAAGCTTCAAAAGGCTTTGACAGAAAAAGACGGTCCGATGGTGAGTGAAAGGAAAAGCAACGATCAACTGCAGCATGTCGATGCTCTAAGTAGAGTAAACAACGCTTTGACAGAAAAAGACGGTCCGATGGTGAGTGAAAGGAAAAGCAACGATCAGTTTTCTTTCGACACAGTAAAGGATATAGTACCCGTATTCGACGGCGGTGACAATTTTAATGCGTGGTACAGTCAAGTAATGCACTATCGTGAAGCATTAAAAATTGATGACGCTATGTTAGCCAACCGAATTCATGAAGTGCGTGGTACAGTCAAGTAATGCACTATCGTGAAGCATTAAAAATTGATGACGCTTTGTTAGTCGTCACTATACGTCTCAAATTTAAAGGAGCTGCATTAGCTTGGTACAGTGCGAAGCTGACTGTACCCAAAAACGTGGATGATTTGCTAAAAGAGATGAAGTTAGTGTTTGCGTCTAGTGAGAGTACACTAGTCCGGCGTCTCAGATTTTAAGGTCGAATGTGGCTGCGTGAAGAAAGTTTTGCAAACTATTACAACGAAAAGTGTTTGCTAGGGAGTAACCTATGTTTAAAAGATGAAGAACTGAAGGGATTACTGATAGACAGCTACAAAATCAATCTCGCATGCAAAATTTTACATCGGCGAGTGATGTCATCAAAGCATTCAAGTCGATCACTTTGTCCTCCAATAAAATTAACTACGGACCAAAGAATGAGGTGCTACAATTGCAATTGCACGGGGCACTATCGAAGGACTGCAGAAATCCACGGCGAGAAGCTGGATCCTGTTATACATGCGGTGAACAAGGTCATTACGCAATGAAATGCAACAAATACAAAAAATCGAAAAACGCTTATGTAAGTTATTTTAAATTATATTATTATTAACGGGTGCACATATTTGTATGTTCATAGAAGTTTAGTTGACTCGGCAAGCCCGTACGACAGAATCCTACTACGACAGAATCCTACTACGGATTAAATAAATCTTATATAAAAATATTTGGAAAAGTGAAATGTTACGTTAGAGTACTGAATAAAGATATTTTAACTGAATTTTTAGTGGTTACTAATAGGTCTATTGGGTATTCAGTGTTACTAGGTAGAGATTTTATTGAAGCAAGTGATGCAAAGTTAAAAATTTTGCAATGTTGAGTTTTAAGATAGGACAGTACAAGGCAATGAAAACCAGGTAGAAAACACAATCAGGGCTAGTGAAGGGTACTGTGAAAAACCGGAAATTTTTCAAAACGTAAGCGATAATAACACAAATGATGATCAGCTCCTCACTGAGGAGGATTTTAGATTAGAGCTGAAAGTAGGGGAACATATAAGCTACGATGATAAAAAGATTTTTCATGATACGTTCAGGAAAATATATCTGGATTCGGAAAAGTTAGATGAGCCCCTCGTAAGAAAAGAGATGCAACTTACGTTGGTACACAAAAAACCTTTCGCTGTGCACCAAGAAGGTTGTCGTACAGCGAGAAGATAGAATTACAGAAGATAATTGATGAATACCAAGCAAAAGGGTACATAAGACCAAGTGAGTCGGAATTTGTGTCACCGATAGTTTTAGTTAAAAAGAAAACGGGTGAACTACGGTTGTGCGTTGACTATAGGAAACTGAATGAAGTAACGATGAAAGACAGTTACCAAATGCCTCTTATAGATGATTTACTGGACAGGCTAGCAAACAAAAGATTGCTCACCAAGTTAGATCTTAAGAACGGATTTTTTCACGTTTTTGTCAATAAAGACCCTTTGAGACAATTCGAGTTTTTGAGAATGCCGTTCGGGTTGAAAAATGCAACTTTTCAAAGGTTTATAAATAAAATATTTGCGGACATGATACGAAGTGGAGAAGTAATAATTTACCTAAACGATATTATGATATCAACAACAAGCGTAAGATAACACCTAGATATATTTAGGAAAGTTTTTTTTTTTGAAAATTGTACAAAAAAATTTAGAGCTCAGACTAGATAAGTGCGAATTTATCAAGTAAAAAGTCTCCGATTTGGGATACGTCATCACTAGCTATGGCATTTAAGCTGATAAAAAAGGGCTTACAGCAATAGAAAAATTTTCAACCAACCGAATTCATGAAGTTCAAAGTTTCCTCGGACTTAGTTCATATATCCGGTGGTTCATCAAAGATTTTTCGACCATAGCTAAGTCCCCCACGTCCTCACTAGAAAAGATAGAAAATTTAAGTTTGGAGAAACCGAATTAGAATGTTTTGACAATCTCAAGGAAAAGCTTACAAAGTCACCCCTGCTAGCAATCTATGATGCGATGCTAGTGCCCTGGGATTCGGTGCAATACCATTACAAAGAAATAAAGATGGAAAATTAACCTAGTTTTTTAATTTTCGAAGCGAACTACTGACACCGAGTCTAATACCACAGTTTTGAATTACAAAATTTAGCCATAATTTACGCAAGATTTAGGGTGTACCTACAAGGTACAAAATTTAAAATAGTAACTAATTGCAATTCTCTGACTTTAACACTAAACAAAAAAGATATGAACCCAAGAATAGCGAGGTGGGGGTTAGAACTACGGAATTATGACTACGAATTGGAACATAGAGCAGGCAAAAAACTGCAGCATGTCGATGCTCTAAGTAGAGTAAACAACATTTAAATAATTCATGCTCACACTTTAGAAGAAAATTTAGTTATTTGCCGAAGCAAAGATGAGAAAATAAGAAAAATAAAAGAACAACTAAGTTTAATGAAAGCCCTTACTATGAGATGAGAAACGGAGTAGTTTACAAAAAGATAGACAAAAAATTATTATTTTATGTCCCAGAACCTATGGAATCACATGTTCTATATAAGTGTCATGATGAAATGGGGCACTTAAGAGTAGATAAAGTTGTACAACCAGAAGAAAAAAAACTATTAGTTTCCGGGTATCAAACCAAAAGCGACCGTTCACGTCCAGAATTGCTTAAAGTCCATAACTTTCTCTAACAAAGGTGGGAAAAAAGAGGGACTTTTACACATGATACCAAAGGGAAATATACCATTTGTAATGGTACATTTTGATCATTACGAACCGATTAACAGCAAGTCTTTAAAGTACAAACATGCCTTGGTGGTTATAGATTCATTTACAAAGTTTGTCCGATATAAAGATATAAGGTGGGAAAAACATTTGAGTCTGTAGAAAATGATATAAACAATACCGTTCAAAAAGCTACAAAAGAGTGACCTAGTGTACTATTTTTCGAAGTTGCACAGAGAGGAAAAGTTATAGACAGCCTTAAGGAAAATATATTTGAGTCAGCTCAAGTGTCAAGAAAACTGGCACGGATAACACAAAACAAAGCGCAAGTTTACAATAAGGAATATTCAGATGCTAAACGACAAGAACCACGGAAATTCAAAGTAGGTAACTATGTAGTAATACTCAACGTCAGCTCTCAAACAGGGGTGTCCAGTAACCAAATGTCCAAATACCTTATAGAGACATCTAGATAGTTACAAATTTAAAATCTTGGTACGAGTACAGAAAGGATAAGAAGAACTAAGTCAGTTGTATGTTACTAGGAGCTTTAATTTAAGCACCACATGTATTTTCATCAGCAGATTCCTTATTGTCAGGATGGCCGAGTTGTAGGACATAAGTGTGCACGTACCTTACGAGTTTAGCTTTAAGGCTGCAACTACCCATTTCA